GCTGAAAGGAAGCTATTTCATGTTCCAATTTCGTTTGTTATCTAGCAGGGCAGCATTTCATACTAAGAAGCTGTTACGACGCATATTTTCTTATGGTAGTAATCTAGGCTTTGTGGGCTTCAAGCGATTAGCTTTAATCAATGAATGTTACTCTCCCCATGTCTTCTTTAGATGCACATAATTCACCCATACCCTAGCTTTCACTTTTTAAATGTTTTACGAATAGTAAAACTCACCCAGGTTGAAAAACAAAATGTTACAGAGCTTTTTACTCATTGCAGATCAAAACAGTGCAGACTTTCCAGTGCCTGAATGTCATTCTTTCTGCAGTTTCATTTGCTTCAGGCTAATCTGATCCAACTGAGAAATCTTGTGCATAGTTGGTTTGAGGAGGGGTGAGGGCACCCACATTTACTGAGGACCTCACCAAGTGGTGTGCTATATTAGTCACACCACACATTGGCTTATTAAATTCAGATATTGTGAGTTAGCCCCGAGGAGAAGCCTTCTGTCCCGCCCCCCTAGGGCTGGCCTCCTTCTACTAGACAGCCTTCACTCTTAGCATATGCTTTGGAACCTACACCACTCTGTATTTTTGAGAGGGTCAGGAATAAGCAAAGTGCCAAACTTCTCTTCCAGAGAAAACCAGAGAAGTAAGAATGGTTCTCTTCTCCATTTTTTATGCCTTTCCACTAAAGCCCAGCTTCTACAGAATAATATAGCAGAATAAAGCTGCTATAGACTGAAGTGTTCATGAGCAGGTGATTGACATTTCTTAAGATCTTTAAGAAATCAAGCCTAAACGTCAAGACAATATGATAGAGGTGTAAGGGTGAGTATTCTCTGTCCCTCCTGGATCAAGATTCTCATTTCTGCTATTTGTTCTAGAGCTGGAAGTGTTGGAATCTAGAATGATAATCATAAAATAAAGACATGTGCTGGCTGGTCTTGAAAGTTGATGGGGTCACACAGTCTGGCAAATGAGTATAGATTTGGGGAAATCTATTCTGATCGCAGTCCTTTATTGATTCCATGTGAAGTTGGGATAGGCCTCACCCAAACGCCCAGCATCCTGCAGCTGAATCTTGAGCATTTCCATGGGACAGGTAACTACCACCTGGCACATTCCAGCTCCACATCCAGCTATCATCTCCATCTTCAGATTCTGCTGCTTCCTGTGGGAACAGGAGTCAGGATGATCCTTCAGTCACGGGCCAGCCCTGTTGTCCCACCTTGTCCCATCTACTCTTCCTTAGTAGTTGGGACTTTCCAGGCTTGGTATTTAGCCTCATTCCCATTGTCTGCTACTCACCCAGCTCAGTAAATAATTACCTTGCCCTCAGGCTCTCCAAGATGTGACAGTAAATTTAAAACGGGCTGCCAGGGAGGTAACATATGCATAGAAGTTGAAACTAGTACACTGAAACCACTCATTGCAGGAATTTGTTCCTGATCCCTTAAGTAATATCATTAAGGAAGTGGGATGCACAGACAGAACTAGAAAGTAAATGCTGGCAAGGGTATGGCGAGAAGGGAATCCTCATGCACTATTGGTGGGAATATAGTATGGAGGGTCCTTCAAAAAATTAAAAATACAACTATCATATGATCCAGCAATTCCACTTCTGAGTATTTATCCGAAGGAAATGAAATCACTATATTGAACAGATATCTGCACCTCTGTGTTCATTGTAGCATTATTTACAATAGCAAAGACTTGAAAACAAAATCAAAAAGATCAATTTTGTGGTTATAGGGTAGGGGGAAAGGAGTTGTGTAAAGGTGATCAAAGGTACAAACTTCCAGTTACACGATAATAAGTCCTGGGGATGTGATGTGCAGCATGGTGACTACAGTTAATACTGTACTGTATATTTGAAAGTCGCTAAAGGAGCAGATCCAAAAGTTCTCGTCACAAGGAAAAGAAATTTTTTGTAACTCTGAGAGGATGGATGTTAACATTGTGGTAATCATTTCACAATATATGTGTGTCAAGTCATGCTGTGTACCTTAAACTTATATAATGTTGTATGTCAATTATATCTCAAAACTGAAAAAAATTCATCAGCTAGTTGATGAATATATATGTATGTATATATATTCTGTCAGTCTGTCTGTCTATCTAGAACTTCCAAATTACACCAGCTCATTTTCTCCCTTCACTTTTTGTCTGCCAAAACACATACTAACCCTCAGCCATTTGTGCGCACGTATTTATATACATGCGGACAGGTAAACTGAGGCAGAGTTACAATCCTCTCCCTGTCACCTTCCCAAAAAAAAGTAGATATATAGTAAAAGATTTCCGTACCCCACCCAGCACCTGGCCATACCCATCTTCCATGAGAAGCTGCCGGAAGAAGTCATTGGCTGCCAGCTTGATGGCCTTTTCTGGAGTGACCAAAGTGAGGTTCACTGCAGCCCCTGGAAGTAAACAATGAAGATAAGTTAAAGGCTATCTCAGATAGACAACCTACTCTCAGCCCAGGCAGGTAAGTTTCTTGGAGTAAATGGAGTCTTGGGGTTGGGGGGTCAAGGAGAGTTTTTCTGCCTATTTTATTGAAACAAATTTTCTTTTATCTCCCTACTTCAACTCTCCTCCCACCACATTTTCCTTTTTATGTATATGTTGCCTTTGTGGGCTCAGTAGTGCAGTTATTAGGAAGTTATTTTCGTCCTTGCTAGCGCTATCCATCTCAGATGATAAATGAACAGTTCCTCAAATTAAACCCCAATAATAAGACCCTGGGGGACAGGGATTGGTTTCAGTTACCCTGTACTGTGCTAGCTCAGGCCCTCTGGCAGCTCTGTTTTTACTTTATTTCTAGAGTACTAGCATATCATCTTCTTCTCAAACTCAGCTTTGTATCAGTTTTCCAAGGCATAATCATGGTCGTACCGCCCTGGATGGGGACACTGCTGGAGACGGGGATAGCAAGAGCTGTGTCAGGGAAGAGCCACCAAGTAATCCCCTTCCAGGAGCTCAAAACACTTTGCATTCTCTGTCCCTGTCAGCTTCTCCCTCTTCTGTTATTGGTGGCTGGGTCCCCTGACAGTCCTGAGACAGGAGGAGAGGCTTCCAATATTGCATAGTGAGGTACTGGTGATGCCAGGATGGAGCCCAGGGCTCTTGAGCTCCTCAGTGTGTTCATCAATGCCCCACCCCTAACCTCACCATAACTACGTATCTATCAAAGAACTAGAGGACTGTGAAAAGCAATGTGGTAGCACAGGCCCCTCCCAGGAGTTCCCTGGGCAGAAAGAACACCAATCTTCAGTGTCCTATAAACTTCCACAGTTCGACACCCTTGTGCCACACCACATCCTCTGTCCTCACTTGTCCCAAGCCAGGCCACCCCCGGGACACCTGGAAAGCCCACCTCGGTACATGCCCAAAAAGCCCTCCACCTTCACCGTCTTCATCAGGCAATCTATCCTAAAAGCGAAAGCCAGAAAAGGAAATCAGTGGTGAACAGGAGGCCGCTCCACAGCCCCTTTCCCCCACACCCTAATCTACACACTCCCTTAAGAAATTGGAAGGAATGAGGCCCCATGTCCCTCCTCTGGGAGCCCCGTCTCCCTACTCACTCCCCTCGCCAATACCTACATTCCCTTGTAGATATCTTTTCCATGCTGGTTCTGAAGTCGAGTCTTGGCCAAGTCGATGGGGAACACACAGGTCACCCCCACGAGCCCTGCCACACCTCCATTGATGAGTTTTGCTGTGACACTAGACCATGGGAAGGAGGAAGGCACAGAATGAAGGAGGGAGGCTGGCTGCAGAGAGCTGCACACAGTGAGGACTGGATATCTCCATGTAGAGAAAAGGGCAGGAGGGCAGGAGGGCAGGAATGGAGTAGAGCAAGGGTAGGAATGGCAGCTCTGAGGACTTCAGCCCCACAGGTGTCCAGAGACTCCTCTCTTTAGCCTCCTACCAACCCCAGCAGCCCCTCTGGCTGACCCGGTGTGCCTCCCTCCCCAGGTCCAACGCCAGAGACAGGTTAGGGGCCAGGAGCCATGAGGGCCTGGCAACTTCCTTCAGGGGCACTGCCCTCACAGAGCTGAAGCTTTTTGCCCTAACCCTAGCAGGAAACGCTCATGAAAGCTAGGATGCTGAAAGTGTTTCTGAGAAGGAGGCCAGAGTGCCAGTTATGTCCTCTGGGGCCCCACCGGGGTGCAGAATGCTCTTAGCTGGGCTTTAGAGCATTCCCTTCAGAGCTTCCACTGAAGACCTGTTTTCTGTCTTGTCCCCACTCTTGGAGACTCATGTGGATAAATTTTCAAACACGCTGAAATTTTATTTCGGACTTAAGGTCAGTCAGAATCCTGGCTATGCTGTTAGTTAAGCAAGTTACCTCACTTCTCTGATCCTTTGTTTTCCTCTCTGTAAAATTAAGTTAATGCATTTGGTAAATGACAGCTATTATTAATAATAAGAGAACATACTTTTCTGACAATGAGGGTTTTAATCAGCACAAGATAACCAGGGCTAAATTATTGAGATTATCTGATTCTGGCCAAAAGTAGTCTCACTTTATATGTGGGCCCCCTCATCCAGGAGAAGTTTTTAAAGTCTGGAAATAGAAAATAAAGCTTCTTCAGACTCGTTGGAACCTGGTAAAATTTTCTTATTTTTCTAGCCAGAGGCAGACTGTGAGCAAAATATTTGGACGTAGATTAGCTGGAAGTGGTGAGAGTAGATGATAAACTTAAATTTTACAATCTGAGGAGATGCAGTCCAATTATAAATTATAAATACACATATGTGTGTATAAAAAAATATATATATTTTTTGTGTACAGGAAAACGGGTCTCTCTTGCTATTCTCCAGGACTCAGCTTATACTTCAGGAACCTGGAAGAGCAGCTGAGGATGTGTCATTACACAGCAACTCTTCCCCTAGACCTGGCCCAGAGATGAGGGCTGTCTCAGCCAGAGTTTACCTCAAATCCTGTTTAGACATTCTGCAGGGGGCCGAGGACTCTGGTGGGTCCCAGGACACAAGGCTGTTTGTTTGCTGCTCAGAAGACGGGCTGAAGCAGAAGTGGTGTTCGTATCTTTGACTCTAGCCAGCAACTGCCGAATGGATAAAGTGCAGGTGTCGGTGGAGAGTGGCCCGAGCCACCTTCACAGCAAGTCACAAACTCCTTGGGCTATAGTTTCCTCCTCTATAAAGCAGTCAGAACGACACTCACTTCATGGTGTGAGAACCATGTCTGTGATGGGACAGAACATTATTCATGTATTAACACTGCCAACTTGATCTGTGATCTTCCCTCCCTAGACCTTTGGGACTTTGGGAATTGAGATTAGAAGGAAGAGGATAAGAGAGAAGGAAAATGGGCCAAACTAAGGCCTGGGCTAAGGCGTTCTGAGGCATTTTGGAGAGAGGCCTGGGAGCAGACATGAGGGAAGCGGATGGGATCCCAAAAAAGGGATTTTAAGGAGCTGCCGTGGACTCGGAATCCCTCACGATGTCCAAGAACTACAGTAAAACACTTGAGATGTTCTGAAGCTACTCTTTTGGCTTTTAAAATGTGTTTTCTTAAACTTCCTGTGATCCTGTAGAAAGACTGGGCTGCATTAAGTCTCTGGATTTATTCATAACTGATGCATATGGAAAGCACCAGGGATAGTGTCAGAAAGTCAAAGCTACGATAACAATAGTTGTTATAGCTTCTGAGGAGGGTTCCCAGTTTAACCCCAGAGAGGCAGGGGCAAGAAAAGTTCTGATGCTCCAGTGGAGGCTGGCCTGA